CCTCCCTCCCCCCCCCCTCTCTCTCTCTCTCTCTCTCTCTCTCTCTCTCTCTCTCTCTCTCTCTCTCTCTCTCTCTCTCCTCTCTCTCTCTCTCTCTCTCTCTCTCTCTCTCACTCTCACTCTCACTCTCTCTCACTCTCTTTCCCACACATACGTGCACTTAGATACATACAAGCATACATAAAAAACGGAAATTTTATAACGTGGACACCTGCTGCTCATACATACAATACACACATAAATATATGGATACGTGTATGCGCGCCCGCGTATATATGTGTATGTGTGGTTACGCGTGTATGCGTACATGTATGAGTGTGTGCGTATATGCATGGGTGTGCGTGCGTTCGTGCCTGTGTGTGTGTATGTGTTAATTTTTATTTATTTAAGTGTGTATATATACACATATATTTACACACACATACATATACATATATATGCGTGTGTGTATGTATGTATGTACATATATATATATATATATATATATATATATATATATATATATATATATATGTGTGTGTGTGTGTGTGTGTGTGTGTGTGTGTGTGTGTGTGTATATATGTGTATTATATATATATATATATATATATATATATATATATATATATATATATATATATATATATGTAGGTATGTATGTATTTGTATGTGTGTGTATGAACACAAACAGCAACGTGTATACGTTATAAAAGTTAGTTTTTTCTTTAGAGAAGGAAAAAGTCTTAATTGCCTCAAAAACCTTAAACAGAGACATCAGCTCTCTCTCACCAGTTTGAAAAATAGTAATCCTTGTACTGTACCTCCAGGTGACTCACCTACGAAAGTAAAGTATAATAACTGAGTTATGCATTAATTGTATAGCCCCACCTCGCAAAGTTTACATCTGAGAACACTGATATCTATTCCCATGGGTCATTTTATCCCAGGTTACAGAAATGCTCATATAAAACTCGATGTAAATTTATACAGAACTAGACAAGCAAAATGCGGTATTGACATATACATGGTACATATGCATGTACAAAAGCTTATGCTGTTGTACGAAATAGTGCAGATGATAGGAAGGTTTTCCCATCGATTCAAAGAACAAAGGGAACAAAAGACCGATTGTGAACTTTACACCTCAGTTGTTCAATGTCGGATAACAGGTCATTTCTGATGAAGTGTTTCCTCCTTCGATACGTTTGTGTGTTTGAATTAGGGGGTACGTGTGTGTGTTTGCACGCGCGGCTGTGTGGGTGTGTGCGCACGAGTTTGCGTGCGCGCGAGCCTCTAGGCCAGAGATTCTTAACCTTTATTGGTTAGTGGCGCACTAATGATATACGGCCGGTTTGTTAAAATTGTGCCAGGCCCGACCCAATGGATTTTCATAAATACAAATGCAGAAATAAAGGCATATCTGTCTATATATCTGATAGATATACATTTAACCATCTATTTTCCGGGTTAATATGTATGTCTAGACTGATAACTATGCATTTATTTCTTTATTTATGCATGTCAAGTATACGAATATTCTTTGGGTCGGGCCTCGCTCAATTCTAACAAACCGGCAGATAGCCTGAGCTTTGACGGCGCACAACTACACAGTGAGTGCAATATATGTATAAGCTTCCTACATATTCCACTGACACAAAGGTATACATAGGGCTAGCCATGGCATTACTACGAGTATATGTGCGCGCGTGTAATTATTACAACAGTGATGATAATAATAATGATAATAATAGTAGCAATAGGAATAATGATAATGATATAATAATGATAGCAATAATAATATTGGTACTAATAATAATACGTAAAATTAGTATCATTATTATTACCAATATTGTTATTGTTGTTTTTATTATCATATATGTGATGCAAGGCACAAATTCAAGACATACCTAGATATCCATTAATTTTCGCGGCGCAGTTGGGGATGGTCGCGGCGCGCTGCTCTAGGCCTATACCTCCGGCATCTCCTTGACCTCCATTCCGACAGACGCTTTTTCCCGTCTAATACTAGGCCTATGACCTACTTGGAAAATGTCCCAAAATCATGGCGTAGTACTAGAAGACGGTGAAATATGTAGACACGTATTTTTTTATGAATAGTCATGCGGGAGACTTTTTTTCAAATTATATTTTGCAAAGATTTTATTTTCAGTAATCAAGATAATAACATTTACTGGTTAATATTTAAAAATAAGCCAAACATGACTATTTATAACTGATATGATGCAATGATAAGGAGATGAATTATATATCCGGCATGCATTTATGGTAGATTTAATGCCGGGAAACTTACATGATACCGACTGTAACCGTAATCGTTTTTTGTTGTTGCGCGAAATACGAAGTTACCCGAGTCAGTCAGCGTGAGATTACGCACAGCTGTTAAAAAACGGAATGTAAGCCCCTTCTGAACTTCCCAAAGCAACCAGTCTATAGTTGAATGCAACGCAATGTTCAAGTAATTACGATGTAGACCGCCAGCCCTCCATTCCCGTGTCACAAGTATTTCCTTAAGGCACGCGTTGGGGTAGAAATGCAGTTGATGCTTGCGAGCTCGGTATTGATCTTGTTGCCTCGTGTGTAGGGGAAGGTTGGGTCGTTTTATTGGTGTGTATGCGTGTGTGAATGCGAGTGTGGCTTTGGGGGTGTTTGAGTGCGTGCATGCCTGTATGGGTTTTGTATGTGTATTTTATGTAAATATTTTTCATGTGTCTTATTGTTTGATATGCATTACATGTAGCTGTCTGTTTGATACGTAATTCCCTTAATCATATCACATAGGGATTATATTCCAGACGTTTTGTTTGTTACGATATTACGTGTGCTGTCACGCCACACAGCGTCTGTGGCTTATCCCTGCCGTGCAGAGGCGGCGGCCAGACGAGGCCCGAGAAGCAGGAAGAGCACCTGTCATGGGTTCATGAGTCGGAGCGGGAGGGGCGTGTAACGTTCTTAATGAGGAAATGTCTTTATTAAGTAGTGAGTCATGGGCGATGCGAGGGAAGGTGAGGCAGCAATTATGAGGAAATACGATGCAGCTGCCTTGCCAGGGTGTGTGGATGCGTCTTTGTATGAATGTATCTCATCAGTAAGAAATGTGCATTAAGGGTGTCAGTGTGTACGTGTAGTATGATGTGTTTTTGTACCCAATGCATGTTTATGTGCTTGTAAGAATGTTAGTGTCCCAGTCTATCTATTACACCCATATATATCCTTCCGTTTAGGGCTTTCTTAGTCAATTGAAATGAATTATACTTATTTGTGTACGTAGTTTCTGACTTGCTAATGTGATAAGTTGCCGATGAACAAGGTCAACCATCGCTCCGTGTATTGTATCGTTGTGGCGTCTGGCTTGAGCCGGTTGTAGGGAGCTGGGATGGCATGCGAGGTCGTTTTACCTGACTCTGGAAACCCGGAAGGTCATAACAGGTGAGGGGGTATGAGGGGGGGGGGGTAAGGGCAGGGGAATTATGTCTTTCGCGTGTCAGGATAGTCTTGGAGATGGGGGGTGGGGAGGGCGAAGTTCACGTGGAATGGTAACTTTTTTGTTTTTTCTTCCGCAGGAACGGAATCAATAGTATTTTCTACGTCGTAGGATGTCGTGATTCATACTCTCTCTCTCTCTCTCTCTCTCTCTCTCTCTCTCTCTCTCTCTCTCTCTCTCTCTCTCTCTCTCTCTCTCTCTCTCTCTCTCTCTCTCTCTCTCTCTCTCTCTCTCTCTCTGTCTCTCTCGTTTTTTCTCTCTCGTTTTTCTCTCTCTCTTTTTCTTTCTCCCTCCCTCCCTCCTCTGCCCTCCCTCTCTCCCTCTCTCTCTCTCCTTCCCCCCCTCTCTCTCCTCTCCTCTCCTCACTTTCTACCTCTCACCCTTCGATTTTTTTCCTCTCTTATTTCTCCCTTTGTGTTTTTATCATGCAATTTCCTCATATCGCCCTTCCTATGTCGCTTCATCTTTTTGTTTCTATACTTTGGTGTTTCATATTCTCTTTGGTCTCTCTCTCTCTCTCTCTCTCTCTCTCTTCTCTCTCTCTCTCTCTCTCTCTCTCTCTCTCTCTCTCTCTCTCTCTCTCTCTCTCTCTCTCTCTCTCTCTCTCTCTCTCTCTCTCTCTCTCTCTCTCTCTCTCTCTCTCTCTTCCTCTCTTTCTGCCCCGTCTCTCTCCTCCCTCCCTCCTCTTCCGTCCTTACGTGTGTGTATATGTGTGTGGGTGTGTTAATGAGGGAATTTACGTCAGTGAGATACTCTCACTAAGAAATATGAATAAGCCATTGGTCAGGTGCCCCCCCCCCCCCCGCATCCTGGTCCTCGGCTTCGACCAGCGGCTGAGAATAGCACCTTCCAATCAATAAGTGTCATCAAACCGCGGTAACTGCTTAAAATATGGTCAACTGGATTCCGATTACCCTTCAATGACGTCATTAGCTGGATCGGTTTGAGGTTTGTTGCTTTGGGAAAGTTAGGTCGTACAAGCTAGTCTGGCGCGAATACATCGGATGAAGGCCGTTAACAAATTGATGAGATGGTTTTCATCATTAGCCTTTCATTTGTCAGTCAGGTGGTGTTTTAAGTGCTTTTGGTGCAAGTATTTTAAGTAAGATAACTGCCGATCAGTTTTATTTCACACCGATACTTGTTGATCTTTGAGGTGACTTTAGGGAATTCTGAACATTTTTGTCAAATAAATATTATATATATATATATATATATATATATATATATATATATATATATATATATTTTTTTTTTTTTTTTTTTTTTTTTTTTTTTTATAAGATTAAAGAATGGAGAAAGAAACCATTTCTGGATAGGGATGAGGCTGGGAAACTTTTTTTTTTTAATATAGGGCTGGTATCTTGATTTCTTAAATATGGAGCAGGTATCTCAATAAATGTATAATAAAAAGTAGCAATTTAGTAATTTTGCTGATAGGTATGACTATCTGGTACAGTGCCCAGTTCATGACTAAGAGAAGACTTAGTCAAAAGTGCTGATAACCTTGTCATTTCAGGTAAATGGACTGACCGGCCAAAGCATAACACATGGAGAGTTCCAAACCCTCAGCAAACGCCTTGGCAGTGCCCTCACGAGACTGGGCATGAAGCAAGGAGATGTACTGGGAATTGTGTCGCCCAATTGTCCAGAATTCGCTTTAACATTCTTTGGTGTTGCATCAATTGGTGGTATTAATACAACAGTCAACTGTACTTACACTGCAGGTAATGAGGAATGCATGCAATGATCTTTGATTTGCATTAGATATGAAGTTAATGATATAAATGCCCAATTACATTTATTTATAATACAGATGTGAGTAATTAATTTATATTGTGGACAATTGCAGTGGTACATTGATTATATATATAATTGAATAAATATGTTTATGATCTTAATATGCACTAATAGAAAATGGTAAATTGATTCATGATTATTATCAATATTTTAACTGATACTTTCCTTTATAAATTAGCCCAGACTTATAAATTCACTTTGCAATACTTGCACCTTCCCCACTTATACCATGAGGAGTAACGAAAGTTTCTTTCAGTGGAAATTGCCAAGCAGTTGGAAAACTCAGGAGCCTCGATTGTTATGACTCACCCACTTTTGTTAACAAACATTCAAGAAGCCTGTAATATCTACAAAGGTATAAAACATATAATTGTGAATGGTCCCGCCCAGCCTGGAGCTCTCTCACTGCAAGACCTCCTAGAAGATGATGGGACTGCTTTCCCAGAGGATGTTAAGGTATGCAAACAATAAATATATATATATATATATATATATATATATATATATATATATATATATATATATATATATATCTATCTATCTATCTATCTATCTATCTATCTATCTATCTATCTATCTATATATATATCTATATCTATATCTATATATCTATCTATATCTATCTATCTATCTATATATATATATATATATGTATATATATGTATACATATGTATACATATGTATATATATATATATATATATATATATATATATATATATATATATATATATATATATATATATATATATATACATACATACATACATATACATACATATACATATATACATATACAGTCTTTTGTGAAATGTGTATGTTTAATCCAAACTGGAGTATTGTTTTACCATCTTAATTAAAATACTTGATGTAAGATAACCTAGATTTATTTAGATTTTATTATTGTTTACTTTTTTCCCAGATCAATCCAAAAGAAGACTTGGTTGTGTTGCCATATTCCTCAGGAACTACAGGGGTTCCCAAAGGTGTGATGTTAACACATTACAATCTTGTAGCTAATCTACAGCAGATTACGCATCCATCTTTAATGTCTGTAAGAGGTGTGTATCGTGCTTGAAAATAGATATAGCCTAATTTACATATTTTTAAAAAGTAGTTTAGTCATGATTAAAGGTTTTAAACTGCAAAGCTAAAATATATTATATTGTACATTTTATTTATTACATTCACTACATTTTAAAGGTTATTTTGTTTTAAGTCTTTTTAGTATAAGCTTTGCATGATTTCCAGCAACTGATATGGAAATATTATTCTCTCTTTCTTTTATGGTAAACAGGGGCTGTACAAGATATATTTCTGGGAGTCCTACCATTCTTCCACATCTATGGAATGGTGCCATGCATGGGGTTGTCTCTTATGACGGGCTCCCTTACAGTAACCCTGCCTATGTTTGACCCAAAACTCTATGTTGAGGCAATTCAAAAGTACAAGGTAAGTGCTTAATTCTTGCTTAAAATAAATTGTGATGGTTTACTCTCACTATGGTTAGTTAGGATGCAAGTCAGGAATTTATCCTTTTTTTATTATTACAATATGTTTTGTAAGGTAAGAATCCATGAATTTATTATATTTACACAAGATGTATAACAAACTAAGATCACTAACAAACAAATAAGGTTGTATGGGGAAAAAACTTTTGCATATCAGCTAAGAAGAAAATAAAAGAAAATTTATTTCGGCAGGTTACGTATCTTCACACAGTTCCACCTCTGGTTAGCTTCCTTACCCAAAGTCCGATGGTAAAGCCAGAGCTTCTGGACAATGTACATACTATGATTTGTGGTGCTGCTCCTGTTGGACCCGTTCTAATTAATGAATTCAGGAAGAAATTCACTGACAGGATTCAATTCCAAGAAGGTATGTCTTTCCAGGAAGGTATGTCTTGTATTGAAAGAAGGAAGATTTCAGTAAGAAAGGAAATGAGTGGAATGAAAATACCTATATTAAGGATTGTGTTTTATTCTTCATGTCAAAATTAGTTCTTAGAAAATTTCACTTGATTAGCTGTAATGTCAGTTATTTTGTACTTAACCAGTGCATTTTTATATTTACATAGACATGTATATATACACAGCATAAACTTATTTCAGGTTATGGGCTGACAGAGGCTTCACCAGTAACACATCTAACACCTATCAACAAGTACTTACCAGGTTCAACAGGTCCATCAATCCCTAACACCTATGCTAAGATTGTTGACCTAGAAACAGGTAAAACTATTGGACCAGATGAAGGAACTGGAGAACTTTGTATAAAAGGCCCACAGGTAAGGACAAGAGCAAAGAATGATATTGAGTAATTATCACCTCCTTGTATTTATATATAAAGATTTTTTTACTAGATGTTTTACTATTATTAGAAGTATGTTCATGGAACTCACCATGTCCACAACAGAGATGACCTCTTATATATCATGATTTTAACTCATTTGGAGGAATGCACAAAGGATTTTGATTTGTAGTTCTGTCTGGCTGAACTAACTAAAATTTGTTAGTTGAACTCAATGTCAATGAGATGAAGATTATATATCTTTTTATGGCAATGAATATTTGGCTGCTTAAGAATAGTTGACACTGAAACAGACTTACATAGGAACCATTTTCCGTTCAGTACTGTGTTTAATCATAACCATGTCATTTAGAGATATTTTCCTTTTAAGTTTTACCACTATCAGTAAGGATACTGAAAAGAAAGATACTATTTTTATATATTTGTTTGCAGATAATGAAAGGGTACTATCGCAATGAGAAAGCTACAAAAGAGACCATAGATGAGGAGGGTTGGCTACACACAGGAGACATTGCAAAGATGGACCATGATGAGAATGTGTACATTGTTGACAGACTGAAGGAGTTGATCAAGGTCAAGGGATTACAGGTATGTATTTTCTAGGTCATTTTTCTTTTATATTCTTCAAAATCTTGATATTTTTTCCACTTCTTTCTTTGATTGCATGTGGTGCTGTATATTGTTCGTTTCATTTGGTTTCAAAATTGTATTCATGATAATATATTTCATGTTTAATTGTGCGTGTGCATATATATTTATTATTATGATATATTTATATATATATATTTATTATTATAGATGAGTATTATATGGTTATGGTTATAGTATATATGTTAATGTTGTTTTTATATTATAGGGTAATATATTTATATAATTATATATATATGTATATATTGTTATATTAGAGGTGTTATTATATACTTATGTATATATTATAATGTATATTTGGAGTTTTGTTATTGTATATGATATTTATTATATATTAGGTGTATATATCATTGTATTAGTTTTGAGTTATAGGTATTATTTATGGGATATTGGGTTTTGTGATTATATAAATTGGTGTGATATAATTTGTAGGTATTATGGTATGTATATTATTTGAATATTTTGTATACATATACTATATTTTTTATATTTATATGTATATTGTATTAGTTGTTTATATATATGTATATATATTATATATATGTATATATATATTATATATAAGTATATGTATATATTATGTATATTTTTGTATAGTTAGTATGTATATTATATTGTATATATATATATTATTTGAGTATTATTTATAAATATATATACTATATATATATATATATTATACATACATATATCATAGTATATTTTATTTGGTTATTTCTATATGGTACTTATATGTAAGTATAGTACATAGCATGACATAGGGTTTACAGTGCATATCATAAGCATACATAGCATTAGCGATACGATCTTACATACATACATACTATACATCACATACTATACATACATACATACATCATACATACATATATAGAGGTTATCTAGTACATAGAGTTACATACAGTACATCATTGGCATAGCATCTTCATACATACATACCATATAGGACATCAGCACGAGCGGAGCGCACGAGGGATCACAACACTACACATCACATCACATCAGACACCACACACACACACACATATAATAGTGAGTATAGGTTGTATATATTATTGGGTATTTATTTATTATTATATATATATATATATATATATTTATTATGGCATTCATCACGAGCTAGTCACAGTACATATAATGTGATATATTTTATAGTGTAGTGAGTAGAGTTGTAGTGTAGGTAGTATTAGTATTATATATATATATGGGTGGGGGTGTGGTAGTAAGTATATGATATGGGTTAGTGAGTTACTATATATTAGTTAATGCATGTGTGTCGTGGTGTGTGTGTGTTGTGTGTGTTGGGTGTTGTGTTGTGTTGTTGTGTTGTGTGTTGTTGTGGTGGAGTTGGTGGGTGTGTTTGTGTGTGTGTGGTGTGTGTGTTGTCGTCTGTCGCTCTGTCTCTGTCTCTGTCTCGTCTCTGTCTCTGGTCTCTGTCATCTGTCTCTGTCTTATGTCGGGTTTGTCCTCTGTCTCTTGTTCTCTGGGTTCTCTGTCTTCTCGTGTTTCTCTGTTCTTCTTGTTCTCTGTCTCTCTCTCGTCTCTCTCTCTCTTCTCTCTCTCGTCTCTCTCTCTCTTTTTTCTCTATTTTTCTCTCTCTGCTCTCTTCTCGTCTCTCTTGTTTCTCTTCTCTCTCTCCTCTCTCTCTCATCTCGGGTGTCTCTCTTTTTTGTTGTATTACCCGGGTGGTTGGTTTCTTCT